CAAGATTATCTGAAATCTGGAGAAATAAGAGAAACCAAACTCTCCTCTTCACAGTGGTCCGCTCTGGTTTATGTGTTGCTGACATCAGAGCAGAAGATGGATATGTTTGATCTGAAACCGTTTATTGTAGCACAACATACAGCAGATGAAGTTCTTCAGAATCTGTTACCTGTGGTTAAAGAATCCAGATCAGCTCGGTGAGTAACACTGAAAACAATCACTGCACTTTCAAAACATGATCACATTTATGATTTTAGCATGTGCTTATTTACCAAAGCAACAAAATGGGTAAAATCTCAGAGAATCACATTTCTGGCAGTGAGCAGGAGAGGTGTGTGAGACACACTTACTAAAGCAGCTGAGGAGGTTTGTGTGTTTCTGTGTGAGAGCTGATGATGTAGAGCTCGGTTTGGAAGATGAAGATGAAGGAATGAATGTGAGGGGGTCAAAACTGACAGCAAACAGATTTCTAATGATGTTTATATGTTAGTTTTATTGTCTGTATGAATAACATTTGCATATGTAAAGTTTTCACATTTGGTTTCTTTAATCACAGCTTCTGTCAGTTCATCATTCATGTTCTTTAATCTGTACAGGTTTGCTTATTGTGTGTCACACATGAAGGCTGTGCAGTTTTACATTGATTTAAAAATGTTAATTATCTTATTAAGTAAGAAAATACAGGACATAAAACACTCAGCTAGTTGTAAGAAAGTGAAGAAAATTTATAGCCTGGGACAACATTTGGAAAAAAATTATAATAATAATATACAACTTGTATAATACATACAACATGTATAACATATTCTGATCAGCACACAGAATTCACACAAGCCCTGTGCTGGATCTGTCAGAAGAAAGTCCATAAATATAAGTGAAATGTGTCAGTCACGTCATCAGTCCAGCCTTAGAGCCTGATGTAAGCGCTTGCTAAGAGGAGAATACATTTACATTTACATTTAATCATTCAGCAGACGCTTTTATCGAAAGCAACATACAAATGAGGACAACAGAAGCAATCAAACCAACAAAAGAGCAACATTACAATACGCAGCTCACGTAGCAAGTATTTTTTATTTTTTTATAATAAATAAAAAGAATGAAAAGTAGATAGAAATAGAATAGAGAGTACTAGTGTTAGAGGTTCAAGTTTTTTTTAAATATAATAAATAAAACAAGTAGACAGAATAGAAATAAAACAGAGTGCTAGTGTTAGAGAACACTACTTAGTGTATTCTCTGAAGCAAGTGACAGAAAGAGCCCTTGAATCACCTTTTTTCTTCACACCTCTTCAGAGAGGAGAGAACACATCCTCCAGCAGCACTGCTGAGCAGCGTCTGGACAGATCCCATGCTGTGCAGAGACTCCCAGGCCTGTCTTGCTTTACATATGTCTTGCCAAAAGTCACAAGTTGTTCAGCAGAGGAGGAAAATTAATTGATAATATCTGCCTCTACTTTGCCCACCTAGAAGCCCAGGACAGAAGCTGCCATTTGTTATTTCAGCAGTAATTATTATTATTACCATTGTTATTCATGGGTTTCAGTCACGTGACTTTTTTGTTGCGGCCGCCATCTTTAGGACCTTTTGAAGCCTCTCCTTGGTGATCGGAAACCAAAAAAACACTTCACCAACAACGAAAAACAATGGGATTTAAAAAATAGAAAAAAAAATAGATACTTTAGGATTAGATCATTATTTACTGTCAAGCGAACTGCTGACTCCACCAAAGTCTAGTGAAAACTTACCAATTTGACGTTTGCTGATAGGCTGTTTACATCTACCTCATACACAATCCCTCTCCATTTTCAGTTAAATTTTCACCTGCAAGAGACTTGTCCATCGGCCCGGATCCATCTGCCGCACTCGGCCTGGATGCTTGTGTTCTCACTTTCAGATTCAGATTTCAAACGTAGACAAAACGTTTACTTTCATTTTAACTATATAGATTATACATGACTTAAATCCATAAACCTCATTATTATGAAAGCAATTTTAAAGTCCATTTAATAACTAGCTTGACCAAGCTGGCATGAGGAAAATGTATTTAAAAATCAATTTATTTACAAAACCATGCAATTACAGCAAAAAACAGCAGTTATACAATAAGTGTAGATAAAATATTTAACACATTTTGCAAAATTACCCATGCAAACATTTTGTACTTGGTAAAATAATTTAAATAATTGTTAGAAAACTGTTACTATGAATAATTTTTAAAGGTAATCAGTGAATACTGTTCTTGGTTGTGGCTCATTGTGCAGCATGTCTTTCCACATTTTAGTCCAGTGAGTTCTTTGCTTGGGAGCTTTCATTTCTGCACCTGCAAAGAGCAAATAATGCACAAGTATTACTAAAGGTCTATCTGAATTAAATTATATATATATACACAGTATATTGAAATTAAATACATATATATTGTATTAAAGCACACGTTGTTTGAAAGACGATTACTTATTATTATTATTTAGCACATTAATGGCTGTGTCCAGTATGATTGAAATTTAAAGTGTGTATCATCCTAATTAAAGAGATAGTTTACCCACAAATGAAAATCATTTACTTCCTTTGTCGTCTACACGTGACAAACCTGTTGGTTTTGATTACCAGCATTCTTCAAAGTATCTTCTTTTGAGTTCTGCAGAAAAACAAAAGTCAGGGGTTTGAAAAACAAAACAAAAATTAGGGGGATTGATGTAATAATGTAAATGATGACATAATTGTGGGTTAACTATACTTTTGAGTAAATTAGTAGAAACACTTTTCACTAGTCATCACTGTGCAGAAAAATAACAGTGAATGCCACAATAAAATGCTTGAAAAATACACATTTAATAGATCCATAGCTTCCTGCTGGTCAGTTTGTCTCTTTGATTCCCCCCAATTGTTGCAGAAAACATTATCTTACATAGTATAATCATGGTCAGTGCAGACATGTACTTGAACTTACTTTCTCATGGACTCTAACTGCTCCTTGCTCGTCCAGTCAGAGAAGTATAATAAAGATGAAGTCCACTGTCTGACTCTAAGCACTGCTCGGTGTTCACATCTGTCTGAGGAACTTCTGCCACTTCTTCTGCGATGACACTTCTCTCGGTTACTACAAAACATTGTTAAAAGACATTTGTGGCACATTTAAGAGAAATATTCAGTTATTCCTGTA